TTTATAGATGTCATTTCAATGGAGACTAGAGCTAATTCCTAGGCCCAACTCCCGCTGATTTTTAAGGGAGCCTTTGCACTGATTTCAGTGGGATTTGGATCAAGAGTAGCTGATGTAATACAAATATGTTTCTCCGTGAAGTAGATAGTTGGGCAAATTTGGGATATCTGACCCCTTACTGCGCAGATACTATGTTTATTAACTGGGGGGGAGAGGAGGTACCGGGATTAGAGGAGATTCAGATGAAAACATTCTCCCTAGTAGTTTCAAAGCTCCCTGCATAGTCTTGGTTCATGAGCCCACTGTATTCACTCAGCTGTGTCTAGACCATGGTTACTAGGTGAGACATTTTATGTGAGGTAATACACCATTTTTTACCAGGATTGCACTACAAGGTAGCTTAAAAAAAAAGAGAGGTCCAGTGTCCACTAGAGTTACATCATGAGGAGGTCTGGGCTACTCAAAGGGAGGAGTTGGACACACTGAGCACTGGTGAGAAAAACAAACACCAGCTTTTGTTGCTGAGCGGCTTTATGCTGTGGCTGACTTCATCCCTGAATGTTTTTTTGAATGGGAAGGAGAAAGAAGAATCCATTTAGAGACTGAGGAGGAAAACCAAGGAATTCCTGTAAAGGTGGAGGGCACAGTACTTTATAAATAGGTAATGGATCACACTTGTGTTGTCTGGTAACTTCTGCTGAGTCATGAATCAAAGGAATATATTAGGAGTAAAGGTGTCTGGTAACTTGACAATCTCTTTTATGCTGTAACCCCACATGTCCGTCTGTGAAAGTGGCTTAATAACAGTAATTCATGCAATGGCATGAAGTAGCTGATGTGATTTTTAATTGTCAATAATTTATGCTATATTACCTATACGCAGTTTTTTAAGAGCTTTTATTTCTGTTATGTTCTGCCCAAAGGCCTTTCAATTCTGAATGACAGTCTGACTGCCAGCAAATGAGTGCCTCACCAAATGCATACTGTTCTCTTGCACTGGGTAGGTCAGAAAGGTACACTGCATGAAAACATTGCGGTGTTGAACTTAAGTGTAAAGCAGAGCTCTCTGGATGAATGAACTTACATTGGTGCTCGGAATTTGCTTATAGGAGTGAGAAAATGGAAAAGCTGATATATCCCAAAGCCACTAAATAAAATTCAACCATGTTAATGCAATAAAAACTTTGCAATATATGTTCGTTGAATCATGGAATAGTGGACATTGCAAAATACAGTTGCTGAATTAATTTATTCTGATTTCCTCTATTGTGGGCTTTCCAAATAATGTCTGTTTAAAAAATTACAGCATCTCTAAGACCAAAATGCTGTTAACTAGAAATGAAAGTGAAGATTTAACAAGAGAATCAATGCCTTGTCTGTCTTGAACAAGATGCACAAAGGAAACAAATAGTATGTTTAGGAAAAGTGAATATCTTTTAAATGTCTCCCAGTTATCTGCTTAAGCATTTAAGGTGAGGAGTTAAAATAAACCAAAGTAAAAAAACACCCAACAGTATTTGCTTCACAAATACATTAAGTTCAGCAAATATTAGGAGGATGACGTTCACAAAGAAGAAACTGCAGTTTAATTAGCTTGTGTCTGGGCTCTTTTAGTTTTCCGCTGTGTCTTCTTCCCCTTTACAGTATTCTCTGTAAACACAAATGACCATATACATGTTCAAAAACATTACTAAGCTATGGTAACTAGATCAGACTATATTCTGTATCCTTTTTAAATGAAGCATATGAAAGAAAAGAAAAGAAAAAAACCCACTGTTGAATTAGTGCTCTCAAGAATGTAACTGGTATATCAGCAAGCAGGAACAGGAGGGAGGTGATGGTCAGTTCCCTCTCACCCCCAGCCCCACCCCCCCCAGTGCAGTGAGAACGTGTTGCTTATAGCGTAAAAAGTTTCAAAATGAATAATACCAGATGTATGCAATGATATGTTCTCAGGATCAAGAAGAGCACCAAGAGGAGAAGCTTTATGGATGTTAGATGACTGTTCCTCCAAAGGCCTCTTTCAGCTGCAAAGATTCTTACAGATGTCAGTGAGCTTAGTTAAAAAATATATAGCATATTCTGAACTTTAAGTACTGGAAGGAGAACTTCCTATAAAGTATTTGTCAATGTTTTGTCTGTAAATTAGAATAGGGAAATACTGTTCATTGTACGTTTGAAGAAGCAGAAAACATAAGTTATTAGAAAAGCATTAGAAATGTAGTTAAGCTGCTATTGAAATGTCATTCCTACAGGTCAGTGTTCTGTAATTGGAGTCTAGTTAATAAATCAGCTGATGAACAAACCAGCATCTCGCATTCCCATAGCTGTGTTGGCCCTATAGTGCTAGGGAAAATGAGACTTTTTTCTGGTTTCTGCATCAACAGAGTTTCTAGCTTGGGTCTGCATGCAGAACAATTTTCTTGGAGTGACACGTCAATAGCAGCTTTAAGTTTGGATACAGGAAACCAAGTAAAAATAGTGCTATAATGGAGGCATGGTCTGGGATTTACGTCTGGAAGGAATTTTGGGTTCTCCCACAGACCTCCAGTGTGACTGCAGGTTGTTCTAGAAATCTTACTCTTTCAGATTTAAAAACAATCTGAAAAGGCAGCTGCTCATTCACTCCCTTCTGACCGTGACCGTGGGTGATTTAATTTGTGGCTCTTGAACAGCTCAGTCACTGGTTGGGTCTTTGTTGTGAGTGATGGTGGACTGTGGTGTTTGGAGGGTGGCTTGATAGCTTCATCTCGATGTGTGGGCTATAGGGTTTTCTTTGTCAGAAATTCTGGAGTTTCCTGTGTTTTTGGTATTCTGCTGTGGGATATGGTGGTGTGATATCTCATGGTGCTAGGTGGGTCAGCTGTGCCATGTTTTTACAGGACTTGTCACTAATGCCTAGGTGCAGTGATGCCTGTAACCACAAGCCCTGACTCAGGCATTTCTGTGCTTTGCACAAATAAAACCATTTTTTATTCTGAGAAGCACAGAGTTTCTAATTATATGTAGTTACTTTTCTGCTTTTTTGTAACTTAAAGATAGTGCTGTCGTATTCAAGTGTCTGCTGCTTGTCTTGAAAGCGTCTCTTGAAGGATCTGGAGCATCCCCTCTAGCCAGCTCAAATTGAAACTTGTATTCTTGAAGTAAATACCATGCAGTTTGTCTGTATGCTGTTTAGCTGCCAATCATTCCAGCTGTTTGTGCACGTGCAGTCACAAATTCCTACTTATCCCCAGGCTATATTTAGGCCATAAGCAGTATAAAAATTCCAGGACATCAAATCTCTTCCTTGGCTTGCTGATGGAGTGCTTTATATGTTGTGATAAAACAGAAGCTGATTTATAGATAAGCTGTTTTTTAATGAAACTGTTATAAAGATATACAGCAGCATTGGTTTTCTAAAAATGGAGTTATATTTGTGGTCAGTGAAGAAGTCCTAACTTAGTATCCCTGCTATTGGGAAGCTTTTTTATGTGTTGTACAAATGGCTACCTCAGCTAAGTGAGGTAAGTGTCCTGGGGCAACACTCTATATGTGATGTGCAAATTCAGTTGTGTTCATTTCATTACTGGTTGAATTAAGATAACATCTTCCTTCTGATTTCTATTTGCAAGGTTTGGGAATAAAAACATCAGACTATATGGAGAAGTTATATGACATGGCAAGAAAAGCCATAGGAAGCTGTTTATTAAAATGAGGGTGAAGAAGGTCAAAGATGACTCTTAACAGCAGAACCATGAACAGTGTAGAGCAGGGGTTAGTTAGAAAGTTAAGTCTCCAGAACGTGATAGAATTACCAAGAAGGATGGAAGAATTGTCTTCTTGTTTACATGATTTTAGGACCTTTGAACTTTAAGTGGCTCTAATTTTCCCTTTATCTGATAAGAACCTTGGCTTTTTCTTCTGTTAAATTGTTGCTGTATTTCTAGCTCAGTACCACATCTTTCTTGACCTTAGTTTTAGTGTGCTCATAGATTTTGGAAATGATATCTTTGTGCTTGAACAAACAATTTTTTGGTAGACCTGGATTTATTCAGGTAGACCTGCATTAATTTCGTTTATTTTGAATGTTTTCCATCAGATCACTGCATTTCATAAAATATGTGATAAGTTTCTGTTCTACTGGCTCATTTAATATTTCATTCTTACCTGAAAGAGAACGATAAGTTCTGGTTTGCATGTGCCAGTTAATATAGGTAGATGATAAGTGTTCATTATAAATATAAAGTCTGTAAATACCAGTCAGCGTGGTCAACAAACAGAAATGTTTCTGTAAAAGAAGAGAGTCTCTACAGTATGTGCACTTTTAAAATGCAATAAAATAGAATTACTTCTTTTTTCTGATTTGTGTCAGATCTTTAACAATTTTTCTACCTTTTAGTATACATTATTTTAAATTATTTTTTCATTTTTTTACAATATCTTGTCAAAGTGGCTGTTACAGAGTGGGTTGAAGATTTTCTGCTCGTTAAGCTGGAGGATCACTTCTGTAACTTTCTAGATGCACTATAAAGACTTTCTAGAAACCTCTTTTGGTGAGAATAGGCTCAGTGCTCAATTTGAGAAGAGATTAAAAGGGCATTTATATATAAAGTAGTTACGGTTTTGTGAAAAACCCATTTTGGATTATAACAAAATCATAGCTCATCACCTCTTTTCTCACTAGCAGGTACAGGAACTATGTTGTTAAGAGATTCTTTCAGCTGAGGAGAGTGTAATCGACAATGATCAATGCATTACTGCTCTTCAGTGTGTTCTTATATTTTTGGTAACAGGCTGTAAAAACCCTTTGGCTAGCTTGAAATCCCCAAGTCTGTGAGCCCTCTGTTTTTTATTGCCTTTTTCCATGCAGAAGAACAAGGGAAGAAGCTGCAGAAATGCTAAATCACAACATCGTTTCAGGATTGAATGTTCTCTGAAAGTCAAACTGTTCTCAGTTGCTATGTCCAAAGTCTGCAGCTGTAAGATCTTGGAAAAAGAAATCTTACTTTATTTTGCAGAGCATTGGCTGTGACGACTATCTGGGTTCAGACAAGGTGATTGACAAGTGTGGAATATGTGGAGGGGACAACACTGCTTGCAAGGTTGTGTCTGGAGTTTTCAAACACACGCTAACAAATCTTGGCTACCACAAGATAGTGGAAATTCCTGAAGGAGCTACTAAAATCAACATTACTGAGATGTCAAAGAGCAACAACTATTTGGGTAAGTTGCATCTCAGTGAATAAAGCATTCTTTGTGTGCTGCTGCAACTGGGTGGAGGTCATGCCAGGAAAGGCATTCTACGCAGTGTGAAAGAGATCACACAGTATCACAGTATCACAGTATGTTAGAGATTGGGAGGGACCTCAAAAGATCATCTAGTCCAATCCCCCTGCCGGAGCAGGAACACCTAGATAAGGTTACACAGGAACGTGTCCAGGCGGGTTTTGAATGTCTCCAAAGAAGGAGATTCCACAACCTCCCTGGGCAGCCTGTTCCAGTGTTCTGTCACCCTCACTGAGAAGAAGTTTCTTCTCAGGTTTAAGTGGTCAAGAACATCTTGACATCTCTGGAGGAGAGGAAAGAAAATAAATCATGAAACAGGCATTTTGATCAGAACTAACTGGCAGTTTAGAATTCTGGCTTGATCATGCACGACCAGTACCATAGACCTGTTACCATCTATTTCCCTATCCATCTGACTTGGCTTTGGTGTTTCCTGTTAGCTGGTTCTGCTCAGGTGATTACACTTCCCGTATCATTTACCTTCTCTGAACAGTCAAGAATCCAGCCACGTGGCATGCTTACACATAATGTGTATCGAGGCTGTTTGAAGGGAAGAGCCTCTTCTGACTGCTTAAAAATTTCAGTTCTTTTAAAGCACAAGTGTATCAAAATTGTACTGAGATAATGTGATATCACAGTATCACAGTATGTTAGAGATTGGAAGGGACCTCAAAAGATCATCTAGTCCAATCCCCCTGCCGGAGCAGGAACACCTAGATAAGGTTACACAGGAACGTGTCCAGGCAGGTTTTGAATGTCTCCAGGGAAGGAGACTCCACAACGTCCCTGGGCAGCCTGTTCCAGTGTTCTGTCACCCTCACTGAGAAGAAGTTTCTTCTCAAGTTTAAGTGGAACCTCTTGTGTTCCAGTTTGTACCCATTGCCCCTTGTCCTATCATTGTTTGCCACTGAGAAGAGCCTGGCTCCATCCTCGTGACACTCCCCCTATATATATTTATATGCACTAATAAGGTCACCCCTCAATCTCCTCTTCTCCAAACTATAGAGACCCAGCTCCCTCAGTCTTTCCTCATAAGGGAGATGCTCCACTCCCTTAATCATCTTAGTTGCCCTGTGCTGGACTCTCTCCAGCAGGTCCCTGTCCTTCTTAAATATTGAGGTGGTATCTCCAGGGTGAAATGTTATTTGTACAATTGTTTATTCTGAGGTAGGTACTTAATTCAAAACCATAGAGAATCCTGAAATGCTTGTATTAACATCTGTCTAGTGTGCTGCAAATTAGAGATCATGTGGGATTTATGCAACTCTGTGTGTTTTGTGTGCATTTCTGAACACAACAGTTATAACATTAACATACATGTGGTTACAACATTCCCTATTGTAACCTCTCATGTTCCCAGGTTAGGAAGTCCTTGGTGTGCCTACATTTGTGCTTTTGTTTTGGAGCTATTTCTGCTGAGTGGACTGGAGAGGGAAGAGCTGGTTAAGATTTGTAAAACCTGCCCCTCTCCATTTTCTCTTTACCTGTCAGTCTACCGTTAGATCTGTCTTAAAAATAAGAGAGCTACATGAGGCCTCTCTTGCTACCTTGGTGTAATTATTACTAGTACTGTGTAGCTGTACTGTTTCAAATCCCAGTACTCCTGTTAGACAGCTGCTTTGTGTCATTTCTAGCTGGTAAGCATCTCAACTACTGCTCACGTTTAAGGAAGGAAAGTGCTCATTATTGAATTGTTTCTCTTCTCTGCTTTATTGTCCTTCATTCCTGCTAGAGCTGTAACTAGTTCTACTGAAACATTTATGATGGGAAACAGTCTAAACTGTAACGTGAGCTCCATAATTTTACCAAAAAAGTGACTCTTCAAACAGTCCAAGAAAAGCAAACATGCTGGACCTCTTATAGTGTGCTCTTATCAGTTCTAATTTGTCTTGGTTTCATCCAGATGTGGTTTTGATATGCTAGATACACCTGTGTACACTAACATTCATTTCTTTATGTGAGCAATTTATACAGCATCCAACAATACTGAATTTTTGATGATAAAATAGAACAGTAATTCTGTCTAAAGAGCTTTCACAGATGCTTGTACATACCATAGAAAATGGGTGAGAACACAGTTTACTTGGCAGGACAGTGAAAGTAGCCACGTTACTAATACATAAAATCGTGGAGTTGTAGTTTTTCTGTCAGATTTACAGAAAAGTTTTCTGCCAGCGTCTGAAAAGTGCTGGCAGAAAAATGTCCTGAACGTATTAAAATGTCCTGAACCACTTGAACAGTTTTGGAAAGGGCAGGACAGAAAAGGACCTTTAAGCATTTTTTGCTTAAAAATAACCAGGCTGTTGGCATGTATGGGAAAGTGGCAACATTTCTCTTTCCCATGCTACTACTTATCTCTTTATCCCCTGAGCTTCATAAGTTACATTTTAAAGCTGTTGATATGGATTTAGTCTGCTAAATTTGTCAGCTCCATCCTCTGTTAGGAATTCTTGAGGTTGTAGTTCCAGCTAGGAGAGCTCCAGTCTCTTTACTTACACTTGGTTTATTGAGACAGGTAAGTTGCACCAGGACAGAAATGAACATGTTCTAACAGAGCAGAGAACTGCAACTAAAGAAAGGTTCATCAAGCACTTTGCTGCACAAGTGTAATGGTAAGTGGGAGGTGGTTTTTTGGCATATTGGTGCTCACAAATTTCTCACTGATAAAACAGCACTCAGTATTCAGACATGCACATTTTTATAGAGCATGTAACAGTAGCAGAGCTGGGAAGCTTGAAAACTCAGATCTGGTGTTTACTGTTTTCCCTATATTTATAAGCCGAAAGAAGTCTTGAACTTTAAAAATAATTTTAAAATCCCTTAAACTCATTCTTATGCTGCAGCTGCAGCAGCAGCAACAACAAAGCCAACCCAGCAGCCGTTCCTTTAATCATGTAGTTGAGTGCTTTGCAAAGTGAAATTTTCAGGTCCCTATTCTGTCATAGTCCAGCTGTAGCCATCAGAGCTGCTTGTAAACAACACTCTTGGTGCAAGGCATGTAAGCTAGTTGTTTTTGCTTTTCCTGACATTTTGCACATCATGGTTTCTTCAGGGCAAAATTGTAAGTCAGCTCGAGGTCACTAAGGCTGTTTTGGCAGATGAGAGCAGATGTTTCTGGGTATCTGAGTTATCCTGCCTGTATTCGTTCAGGAGACTGTCTTGAGTTTCATGTGTTTTCACTAAACAATTTTTACAGAGCTCCACACCTTTTCACTGCTTTGTCAAAAGTACCAAGCAAGTAAGCAGTCGGGAAGGTGTGTTTTCACAAGGCGGTATTTCTGTAAAATCAAGAAGTGTTGGAAAAAGCAGGCAAGAATATGACGTTTCTTACTCAAAGAGTTTCAAACTCGATCAAGTCATCCAGACATTTGAATACTTCTCCATACTGCTTTTGTAGTAATCAACTGCTCGTTGCTGCAAAGCCTATGACCATCATAAAAAGCATATTTCTAATTATGATGCTTAATCTGATGGTAGCTTATTAAGGTTTACTAATTCTAAGTACTGCGATTTTGTTCTTTGCACACAAGTTTGAGTGCAGAAGAATTTATAAGCTCTTGTTACTTCGACACTTCTGTTAAAAGAAAAAAACATGGCAGTGGTATATGAAGCTTTTAGTGTTTCTGGAACATGTCATTATGAGGGTAATCTGAATATCCATTAGATTAGACTGTTTTGGTGTTGGTTCAACCAGTTGTTCATGTAACTTTATAACTAACTTTTCACAAAGCTCACAAAACCATCAATTTCTTGTGCATTTAGTGACCTATACTGTTTTACTTCTGTATACCTTAAAAACTTTCAGCAATGTTGTTTCTGGTTTCCTCTGCTTATGTTTTCTTTTTCTTTTTTTAGGTGTTCTGTTTTTGAATGAGTGAATTTCATATGGCACAAACACAATCTTTTCTTTCCCCTGCCTTTCCTGCTGCCCATATGCATGTTTTCCATTTAGGTTTTCCATTTCTTGAAGATCTTTAGCAAGAGTGTCGATCTGATAAAGAAAAATAGTCAAATTGAGAGTGGGCTGTAACGTTAACTGGTGTTTCTTAGGGAGCCAAGCTGAACTACCTCTAATGGAGCCATGAGACAGATCAGAAATTCCCCAGGAAACATCTTGTAAACATCTTGGAAAGAAAGCAGTCCAGTTTTAGACGGCTAAATAATAGCTATTAACTATTAATAATATATTGGTCTGTATATTTAGTATATATTTTTACAGTAAGAATCAAAAGCTATATATTACAATTCAGGTTTAGACCCTAAAAAATGTAAACAAGACTATAGCCTGTACAGTCTTGAGCTGTTCATGGAATGACTTCTCCAAGTAGTTTTCAGCAATACTTCTTACTGGCTGATGTGTTAGACCTTTCGGCAACAGAACTGCTGACCTTGGACAGACTTTTCCATTGGCAGAGCACTTCTGTCAAATGCTTTTGTACAGAAAAAAGACAAAGACATATTTTGTATCCCAATGGTAATCATCATCTGGCCAGTTCTCATACACTGAAATGGGAAGCTTGCCACTGAATTAACTAGGGCCATAATATCTTAAGTGGGACCAGTATGTTACAGCACTTACGCTGAAAAACATGTGGTTTTGAGTATAAATACTTAAACATATTTGGGATCGGGATTTGGGATAATGACAGAATTTTGAAGCCAAATGACTTAAATCTGAAGTGATTTGAAAGGTGCTTTTTTGCATGGTGGGTCTTGAGAACCTAATTCAAAGAACCTGGTTGTTATCTGTATCCTCAAAAGCAAGATAATCTGATGGGAAAGAGGTATCAATAGTAAAAGTTGAAATTACCTTAAGAGTGAAAGATAAAATTGTTGAAAACGTCTTAGTTTTGAAATACATTTACCATGTGTAATGAGCTTACTTTAATTGGAAAGAATCTGGAGATGTTCTGTAACTCAAGCAACAGTTTGTTTCTAGATCAGTTGTCTGAATCTGGAGTCATAACATTCTCCAAATGATACCAGACATACTGCCATTGCTGGCAGCGGAGGTTGATGAGATATCATATAAAACAGAAGGTATGTACATTAGAATTTTGGCAAGTCCCTTAACATTTTGTGCCTTACCTCAATACTGTTTATTGCAAAGAGTATACAGGTGCTATTTGTCATGCAAAGATGTTTCACAGTGAAATTTATTTCATTGCTAATTCTGAAGTATTTTTACGGTTCCTTCAGGGAATATGTTATCTATTTCAGTTTTGGTTTTGATGGGATTAAGCTATTTCAGCCTAAATGAGATAGGAAGATCCTTGGCTCTAATCAATTTACCCTGCTTTCTGTAAAATGATACTTTGCTGTTCTAGTGTCCTTTATTAGCACATGCCAGAATACAGTATTTGGGATTAAGAGAAGAGTTACACATTAATAATTCAAAACAAAAAAAAAACCCAACTGAAGTCCAAAAGATGTTAATAGCATTCTTGTGAATATTGGTCTGCCTAGACATGAATATGGATTTAAGGAATTTGTCAAAGAAAACAACAGTGGCTGATGCTAAAAGGGCTGTGAAAGGATTCTCTAAAAACCATTTTGGTTCAGTATTCCCTGCAGCAGATAACATTGAAACAGTATGTCCCAGGCTGAAATATTGTTAGCAGCTCTTGAGCTTAAAATAACATTTTGAGATCAGTTTAGAGACTCAAATTTACAGAAAACAGAGGAGTTAGATGAGAATACTGGCAGACAGTTTAGAAGATAAACATTGTTAGAGGCACTGCTATATCACTGTGATCACATGAAAAGTTTTATAATATAGATTAGCAATTAACTCACTGATTTCCTTCATGTGGTGCTGATTATATCAATAAGCTTTAAAATACATTTTATTAATGTGTTTTAAATTGCTTTTTAAACTTGCTTTTAATAATTTTTTAATTCTTACACATTAAGGGTTTCTGTGCAAAATAATTGCAACAGATACTACATAATAATATGGAGAAGAGATGATATGTGTTCGATTTTTCAGGATTTAGAATGAATGAATATACAAGATTATGCCAGAGGACGATAGTTCTTACATACAAAGGATCTGCCTATAGTTAACTTCTGTTCCAGTGCTTGGGTGTGTGTTAGGTTCAGTGGCTGTCCCAAAGTTGTGAGAACTATCAGTGCTCCATTTACGATTCTTACATTTCCATTTAGAAACAATATCTGCAATTTTTTCAATTGAGTTTATGAAGTGCTGCAAGCCAAAACTATGCTAT